AATTAAAATGTAAATTAATTGAAGTTGCCAATTATTTTTTAAAACTCCAAGTAGCTGCGTCTTTAAATTTTTATGTCGCATAAGTAAAGTATGTCGTGTTTATTCAGTGTTACTAATAACAAAAAAACCTTCGAAGAACGAGTGACTTTGCAAGGTAATTAGAGCAGCAAATTAAATGATTTTGAGCCTGCACGATCAATCTTTCACCTCGACGCATTTAAAGCTCTAAAATTTGTTCTGATTACTTTCAAGCTTTTGAACGTTGAAAAAAGGCATCTTTTTGAATTTTAGAAGCATACTGTAGAATTATTGTATTATAGGCCAACTTAGCCAAGATTGTTCAGTAAGCAAACAGTGGAAGAGAACTTCTAGAACTTTGTCATCTCTTTAATAACTAGTTTGTAACCACAATTCATCCAAGGCTAAAAACCAAAAATATTGAAAGCAAAAAAGGAAGAACCAAAGATACAGGAATTTTTTTATAAGTTTTGGAACGATGAGCTTGGGAATAGCATTAAAACGATTAACTATCTGGCAATTTGCTGAAAGAAAAGCATTACCACTGACTGATGTTGATAAACCAAATTTAAACAGATTATTGAAAAGCGAATACGATTTTTGTTGCTGGACCGTTGCCGAACTGTTGTTGACGCTCGCTGTGAATTTTACGGAGCCATAATTTACAACTGCGTTAAAGATATGTTCAGTTATTACGAAAATTTTGGTTTATTTGGTCTAAGTGTTATGTATTTGTTTCAAACTGATTTGTTGCATTAAGCGTTATTTTGTAATTTTTTAATAATTTAACATTGATTCTTTTGTTTCGTTGTCTAAAAACAGGGCAAAATTCTGGTACTAATTCAGATTCTGACTGTCACTGCAAATACGTTAATGTTGTCAAAGAACAGTGACTGATTTACTCTACGTTTTCACTTGTATCAGTGACGGTAGTGAGATACTGAGATTATAAGTTAGGCCGTTTGCAGCAAGAATTCTCTTCTTCGGCTAAGATATGAGCAAAAACCACAGGTTTCGATCCTCCGGCTTGTTATTTGATATATCAGCTAATTCATATTGCATGTGAATTTCCAGGTTAGATACTTCAAATATGTACACCAATTTGATGTACACCTTTCATCTTAATGCCACAGCTTTATCTATTCGTATACCCACTGACAGCAGTTTGACCCACTTTTGTCTTGAAGTTAATGCATGGCACTTCTCATATAAAATTATTTATTTTCGCCAATATAAATCTTTATATAGTTTGAAATTAATTTCACCACATCGATTTTTTAGATAAAAATTCAAAAAATTTTTTATAATGTACTACTTACTATTGTTTGCTATTTAGGGCATCAGCATAGAACTTTATTATGATATACAAATAACAAAACCACTGCCAAAAAAAAACTGGTGAAAGAACGAATGTGGTGATGACAAACTCTATATCGTGGGAAAACTTTGTCGCCCTTAGATACTAAAATTTTTTTGTGACCGGAAAAGTACAGTCACAAGATTAAGAATTTCTGAAGAAGGAGAGTGAGTAGAGAAACAAGTCGAAGATGTATATTTGTGGAAGAAATAAGCGGAAAAAATGGTACTTCGCCAGCAAAACTTGAAGATTTAAAGTTGACGAATGCATTTGACAGGGTTCAAACAAACAATTAACTCAAACCGACGAACAACTTTATACCAACATATATCAATATTATAACATGTAAATAAAACTAAGCAATCAAAAGTTATAATAATGATAATAATAATAGGGGGTAAGAATACTGGTGGTAATAATAATAATGATAATAATAATAGTAATAACAGTAATAATAGTGATAATTATAATAGTAATAATAATAATGTTAATAATATTAATAGTATTAATAGTATTAATAATATTAATAATAATAATAGAATAAAGTTTATAAAAATGAGAGGAAAAACGAGATCATAAAAAATTGGTTGAATAAAAGGAAGCATTTGCGGTGATCGGAAAAAAATCGAAAAAAAAACATACAACATACGGCACCCGGCTTAAAACTGTATCCACCAGAACACCGGTTATGGAGGACACAAACACCCGAACATATTTCACCGGAACACTACTGTAATTATGCCTAATTAGTTAGTCAGCTTTTTTCTCTGTTAGATTTCGTAGCTTCTATGGGGGGCAACCATCAATTAAATTCTATGAAATAAACTATGACAAAAGAAAAAAAAAACGAGAAAGAAAAAAAGCAGCTGGAGAAATCTGCTAAATTCATTTTTATTTAATGTTTCAGAATTTGTGAACAAGTCATAGAAAACGAAACCGCTACGGCTGCATACTGCTGATAAGCATTAGTTGGGCATTTGCGGTCATAAAACGAAAAACCAAAAAAACTAGCTGGGCAAGTTAAACAGTGCAAAAACAAAACAAAAAACAAAAAAGCAAAAACAGCTTCTCTGCTTCAGATATCTACTTGAGGTATACAGCCGAAAATACGACTAACCAAAAGCATTGGAGACGGGCTAAAAATTCCTGTAATAAGCAATTTAGTTCTACTAATTTCTCGCGCTTTTTTTCTTTCAGTTTGATACTCACCAGAAACTAAAATATTAAACTGGCATAGTTGTTCTATTTTACTTGGATAACTCTAAAGAATTGTACTAGTCCAGACTATTTTTAAATAAAAAGAGAAAAGAAAAAAAACTAAACTAGTAAGCTATTAAAACAAAAAGAAAACACAGAGCAATTTCGAGCCGATGTTACTGATTAAACAGTTATTTGGATTTAATTTTGCTGATAGCTTTTCCCCAGTTGTTCTTCATAATTAAGTTTCAGATTGTTTTTCCAACAGTTTTCATATTACAATCTAATTTCAGCTTCTAAAACTTATAAAACTACAAATAAAAAGAAAACAAATTGCACTGTATATATTACATTGTCTACTATAATAATGTATCAGCTTCATCCGGTGATATGTCAGCTTTAATTGAAAGAGACTGTCGAACAAAAGCTGGCCGTACTGGCTGTTTTGACATTTGATTAATATGGGTGCTTGCATTGAGGTCAGTGGGTCGTTGTAACGATTCTGCGGTGCTAGGCACCCTGGAAACTCTAAGTACATCTTCGCTTCCATCCGACAACTAAACAAGGCATTGTTAAGTTAACTATTACTTTAAAAAAGAGGTTTGATAAACTGGCAGTGTTGGTAAGCAAGTAACTATCATCGTGGCGAAAAGCTTTTAAAAAAAAATCATGAAAGTAAAATAAGCAATAACGCTTACTGTAGAAGTTTGAGCAACAGGTCCACCTCGTGCCGCTGTCCGAGATGCTATTTCTTGGGCTGGAAAACTAGAACTATTTCCTATCAATTTTTGTTCGCTGTTAGCCAATAAAGCTTTCAGTATTTGCTCCAAATTTGTGTTGATTTTGTTGTCCATTTTTTCTATATGGCTAAAAATAGTAAAAAATCAATAAATCCTAATAAATTCACCAATCAGCTTTGAAAAAACTTATTTTTGAAAGCAAAAGCTCTGTATTACGACTTTTATTTTAAGTTTTAGCAATATACTGTTAGAACAATACTTGTTTTTAGGCACAGTTAAAAAAAATGGTAATTGTATTTTTATTTGGCGATGATAATAGACTATGGAGCTGGCATAGGCAAAAAGATAAAAAACCAAAAAAACTTGAAGGTTGAAATATATTTTAAAAAAAGGGAAAGAAATTAGCGGACTATTTCAACAACGAAGGTTGCAGCATGAAATGACCGCAATCAAACCAGGAAGCCAAATGAAATAGGAAACAAATATAAAACAAATAGCAACAGCTATACTCTTTAAATCCGGTTAATAGAAAAATTTTTGGAAAAAAACGTTGTCATCAAAGCGAGAGACTGTTCTAACATGGGGTAGAAACCAAACTTTAAGTTTTATCAAGAAGATTTTCTATTCTACCAATGCGAGTTCTCTTATTTATTGAACATAGCCGTCTTTTCATTACCAGCTTAGAATCACTGATATTGCTGATGCAACTCAGCGTAACTGGTCGCTACAAAAGTAAAAATATTAGATTTTTTGTAAAACCTCTCAGAGCTCTTTTCAATAATCCTCTTGTCTTTCAGACAGTCTTCTTAACTGTCTTTCAGGCAGTGTTCTTAATCTTCTTCTTAACAGACAATTTTACATTCAATAAATACACATCTCAAACTGTACTCTTTTACCTTTTACAAGCATTTTCATGATCAGCTCTCACTCAAAATCATGCTGGATTGATTTTGTGTATGTAAACTTATTTTTTTCAGCTAAATTAACGACGCAATAAATGACTTAAAAATGGCAAAAGACCTGATTCTTGATTTTCTTACTCTGGAAACTTATTCTAGACCATCCAGAAATTATTCCAGCGTCAATAGCTTTTCTATTTACAGTGAACACAAAAGTTCTTCAATTTTTTAAAGCCAGTTTAAAATTAGAATAAAGGCCTACCTTTCAATGTCATTTAGTCTCCTTTCCAACTTTTGGTACCTTTGATCTTCATCATCTGCTATTGATATACTGCTACTTGCTAAAGAAATTTGTCTTTATTATAACAGTCGATAATAGTATTGAGTAATGATGTAACAGAACATACAAGACTTAATGGAACGGAAGGTAGGCTTATCTCTACGCCTTCTTTCGAAGTCTTCAGAATCTTCACGGCTCAGCGGGACACTCTCCGCATAGTGTACCCGTCTTGACCTTACAGCCGCATTTTCACCTCCAATAATTTGTGTAAAATAGACTCTTTAAAGCAGTTTTTTGGTAAAACGCTTTTGTTAAATATTAAAATAAATGCTACAAAATTTTTTACAAAATTATTAGTACCTGTAGGTTCTACGCGAGTAGCAAAGTCGCTTCGCTTTTCGAGTCCTTAAAAGAAGCAATTACTCGTGAAAAACTTCACCTACAATCATCGTGAAAAAAAAAAAACTTTCAGATATTACGAACAAAAATTCTTAATTTACAAAAAAGTTTTAGCGAAATTTTACAAAACCTTCGTTCGAAAGCTGTCTACAAGCTGACGACATCCGAAGCAGCTTCCTTCTATCGATTCGTTTTCTTCCCGGTTGAGAATCCTGAAGTCATGCATCTTCATTTTATCGAAGAAAAATTTTCAAATTAATTTTATTTTTTATTTTAAAAAGAGTTGTTTGAATTATAATTTACTCGTTTCTTTACAGTTAGGCCCAGTGCTAATAACAATAAAAAAGTAAAAAAAACTAACATCTCGTAAATTGCATGTAATAGTGAGGTTCTGACAGAAATTGTCAGCAAATTCAGGATACATATCAAGGACATCCAATAGGTCATCGCGTAAAATTTTGTGCAGATCACAATACGTTAATGCTCTGACATTACAAGACGACTTCCCAACATCATCGTACAATAAAGGGTTTTCACCAAAGATGTCATCCTTACCTAAAACTGTCTGAGTTTACCAAGTGAAAAAGCCTAATAAATGTATTTTAGCACTTAACAATTTTTACGCTCAGAATTGAAGTAGAGTTGTGATTAGGTAGAAGAAACTTTTTTCCGTTTACTTTTACCAAATGTAATTTTAGAATCTCATTATTGAATATTTTACCGAGAATACTTATAACTGTCTCATCCTTCAGGACTTCCACAGACCCGCGAGATATGAAATGTAAACCAGTTAACACATCACCTTTGTGCACCAATGTGTCACCAGGCGGAGCATGAGTTGTGCGAAATCTAAAAGATTAAACGGAGAGATATGGAAAAAGTGGTAATATTTACTATAAGAGGAAATTATTTAGTCGAATGTTAAAAGCTAGACAAGGTCAATATTTTAATTGCAAATTGTTAACCTAAGACTTAACGCTCTAAGGCATCCGGGTGATGAGCCAGCAAATGCTGGGCAATTATTGAGCAAATTGCGATTAAGATGAAGGCAAATGTCAGCCTGAAGACCATCAGGAAAACCTTTCAGAACCTATAAATAAAAGCAGCTATAAAAAAATTTTTTTCGATTAAGTCACAGTAATGTCAAGCGATTGAGCAATAAATAGTAAAAGTAAAAATTTAGTCTTGGAAATGACACTGACAAAGATTTAGCTCAAAGTACGCATTAAAAACTGTTTTTTTTTTTGAACTTTATCTCTAATTCAATTGAATAGTTTAAAAAGCTAAATAACCACAAACCAAGTTCATATCTATTCCGTTAGTGTATGACCAAGCATGTTGAAAATATTCTTCAAGTCTCTGTCTTAACGGATTTGGTATTTGGTAAAACCGAATAAACTCTCTCAGTCTTGACATTTCCGTATGATAACGAGCAGTTCCACTATATAACCGCTGAATAATTGCTGAGACGTTACCAAAAACGGAGGCGTACATCAGCGCTAAAATGTTGCTTTAAAGTTTCGCCGTATCAAATCAACATAAATCTTCAGCCTTCATTTGTTTTTTTTTTTTTTAATATCACATGCAATAATTTTTATAACATGTAACATAATAGCTAAAAAAACTAAATAACTATCAAGCATTGTATAATACTTTATTTTCATCTATTTGTAGCAAATATTAAAATCTTAGAATAAATTATTTTAATTTGAAACTTTAATGACTTTCAGTATTTAAAAAATGAATAACAAAACTTACATCCAGCGATCATCATTACAATTGTGAATATTTTTTCAGCATCTGTTGTAGCAGAAACGTTACCGAAGCCAATTGAGGTAATTGTTGAGAGAGTAAAATAGAGTGAAGTGACATAGCGAGATTGTAACGACGGTCCACCGCCAGTGATTAAGCCGGTATCGCTTTTATTATAAGGCTTATTTAACTTTTCTGCTATAAGATGAATATTATGATGCTGTCAAAGATGGAACATTTAGTTCCTTTCACTTAAATTGTTAAAATTTTCTAAGTCTTTGGTTTAAAATTAATTAAATATTTACAAAAACTGCTTATCATCATCGCGAAGCAACCTTATTTTTACTACAGTTTTGAGCTTTATAGCTTTTTACTCACAAAAAACAAACTTTAAAAAAAAAAAAAACAGTTTTTAAAATTGCTGTAATTTTTTTACGTTTAAATTTCTGTTTTTTTTTTTTTTTTTGACAAATCTGTAATCAGATTTATCAAATTTTAAATACAAGCTTTTAAAAGCAGCCTGACCAGCTTTAACCAGTTAGAATTTAGTTTATTTTCTTCAGAAAAATCAAAATTTTTATAAACTATAAGAAAACAAAAAAAAGAAAAAAAAACAAAGATTCTTAGCTCAAAACGTTAGCGAATTGAAAATCTTTTTGGATATTACGCTCATTTTCTCAGGCTATATTTAACAAACAAATAATCAGTAATTTATCAACCAACTCATCCGAGGCCCTTCCTTGGCTATACAGTAATATATTTAAAAAATTAAAAGAATTAATTTAGACTAACTGTTAACAAAAAGAAAAAAGATAAAAAAATTAAAAATTTATGGAAAGATTCAAGAAAAACAAATCAAAAACAAATGCAACTTAAAACCGTTGTTTGAAAAATTGCAAGAAAAAAGATAAAAGAGGAACGGTATAATAAACCTGCGCAAATTTTACAAATTTTTTTTGCAGTTTAGTGTAATTTTATAATTATTCTGTAAGATAAGACAAAGGTTATTGAAAGATGTAAATTTGTAGAAACAAGGTATTCATTTTATTTGGTCTAATTTTTAAGTGGTTTTTTACGTACATCAGTAAACAGATTTTATAGTTGTCAAATTATTTCAGTAACCTATACGACTAACT